TTTCATCTTAAACCTTTTCTCGGTGTTTTGGTTGTTTGTTGTTTTTTTTCAAAGTATCTCAGGAGTGCTGAATTTAACAAGGAAGACACCCCATCCCCCCTCCCCCCCACCTTTTCCAAACCTCCCACCTCAGCTCCCTCACCGGAAGCAGCTTTAAGTTTTCCAGTTTCTAACTTTAAAAAGAAAATTGACAGTGCAATTTTGGATGCTTCAAAGAGAGGTAATATTGGCTACATTATCACCCGACCACTTTAAACTATTTGACAAGTAAACAAAACAAAACCAAAAATCATCTGAATGGCATATCACAAAGTCAGGTCGTCCACAGCTGTGTGCACGCCAAGACAGGTTTATTCAGAAACTGGGCCAGTAATTCAGATCCTTCGAAAGTTCCCAAAAAGATTCTTCTTTTTTTTTGGCTGGTTGTAACGCGTCTTCTCTTCCGTAGTGGCGTGTTTCCTGAGCCTGAGGCCAGTGGAAAGTGCTGGTAGCAGTATAGCATGGCACGGTGCATAGGTTGAGGTTTAATCAGTGTAAGGTAAATATTTACTTGTTCTTCTGGAAATGAAAATTTTCTCGCATTCCAACGCCTGGAGGGGAGTGATGTGGGGTCAGTGTAAAAGGCGTTCTTCTCCAGAGTTGCCTATTATGTTTGGTTAAACCTGAAGTTGTTAAGAAAATTAATTCAAAGACAGCCTTGAAAGGTTGGTCAAAGCTACTTACATAATAATTATCTTGTTCAGGAGACGTGGAGTTGCATTTGCAAGTGAACAAATAGGTGATGGATTGTTCTGAAGGAATGGAACTCAATGAAGACGACTGTGGTCAGCCATTTGGGTTCTAGGTTGCTGTTCGAAATTGTGTTGATTAAGAAAAAAAAATCAGGAATGAATATAAAGAACGGGAAAGATGGTATACAAACAGAAAGGCGGAAAACATGAAGAACTTATTTGAACAGCACAGTGTTGTTATAATGAGGGGCGTGTCATACTTATAAAAATAGACCAGATGTTATACAATTAAAAAAAACAAAACAAAAAAAAACATTCCTGAAAATATTCATACAGAATAAGTAAGAATTTATTCCGGTAAAAGAAAAGGAAAAGGTAATAGTTTTCAGTGGGTAAAAAATGGATTTGTTACATGCGATGGCATAAAGCTAGAATAGGCTGCTCCAGAGGCATCGAAAAGACGTTGAGGGAAAATGACGACAATAACTTCGTTTGATACAGCGATGTATCAACACACAACATACATGGCGTGTAGTAAAGCATTGATGCATCAATGCAAGGTAGAGAAAGAGTTAAGAAAGTGTGAGCAGACGAAGTGGGGGGAATAAAAATGAGCACACATTTTGACCTTTTCTTTTCCTCGGAAATACAGCCACGCCGTGAAATTTTGTGTTTCTCGTGCCAAAACATTATTCCAGACTCCCGTCTCTCCACACTTGAAATAAAGATCTCGCGAAATGTCGCACCGGCAGAGGGTCAGCCTGCCTGGTAATCCAAGTCTAAACCGAAAGAAACATAGAGAAATAAAACATGACAACCCTGTGCATGTTCGGATTATGCTGACATCCTCGTGGTTATTCCGGATAAATCAATAGTTATCAGAAGCAGAGAGAGAGAGAGTGAGAGAGAATGAGAGAAAGACAGAGAGAGAGCGAAAGAGTGAGAGGAGGAGAAAGAGAGAGTGAACGAGAGAAAGACAGAGAGAGCGAGAGAGAAAGAGACAGAGAGAGATGGACAGACAGACAGAGAGAAAGAGCGAGAGAGACAGAGACGGAGACAGACAGAGAGAGCTAGAGAGAGACAGAGAGAAACACAGATAGAGAGAGGGGGAAAGAGAGAGAGAGAAAGAGAAAGAGAGAGAGAGAGAAAGAGAGAGAGAGAGAGAGA